GATCGCGGGCGCGATGTCACAGGGGTTCTCGATCTGGCAGGCTTTGGCGGAACAGCCAGGCATGTCGATTTTCTCATCGACAATCCGACGCTAGGCAGTAGCGAACAAAACGGGGTGGTCGGGAAGCTGCAGACCTGCCGCCGTGCTTTCACGGTTGATGGAACGGCTGCAGAGAACAATGAGGTGGAGAGGAGTCGTCGACGTCGAGAATATCCTTCAGAAGTCCAGCTCGTGGCGGCCCAGCAAATAGTCTTGACGATAGCGTCAGTCTGGTTGAGCCATCATTGGTGGTTGGCACCAGACTAAGATACCGCTAACCACTTCGAGCCACAAAAGACAAGGAAACTTACAAGAAGTTGTCAGGAACCACTCGACGGCGTCAAGCCACCAAAACTTGAGCCCGGGTGCCAGATGGGGATGGGCAAACAGCACCAGAGCACCTCTGGCCAGGGCTAAATTTTGCGGGACCTTGATCTGTCAGCGTGGGGTTGAGCGAGGAGGGATCTGAAAACTCTTTGGCATTCATTACCTTCAACTTCGAGCTTGGGGTCTCAGGGCGGCGGGTGTGAAGCAGTACATATGCTGAAGGCGGAACTTTTCGTCGGCTTTTAACTCTGAACAGGGTAAGGGACCAATTGGCGAATAACCTGACCCATCTATCTGCAATACACGGTAGGTTGAAGTAAGGGAGTAGGAAATGCCCTGGGGGGCGGATGAAGAGGCTCAAAATGATAGGAACCGAAATGGTGATCTGCGTCGTGTGCAGATGTGCAGATTGCACAGTGACCAGAAACACCGTCGAATGAGGGGCTCATGTATGAAAATCAGGTCGGTGTTAAAGACACTAATATCGAAGTTTCTATGAACAGGTAATGGATACTGGTATGATGGCTCTTACTCTTGTTCAACAATGACGCAAATCAACCTTCCTCCCACATGTCCAGGTACTCCGTATATCCTATAGTCGTATCCGTACAAGGTAGTGCAGATCAACCTTCCCATCTCATGCATCACCCAAAATCTCTTGCGTTGAAGACAGCGACGCCGTCTCCTTGCCCTTTCTCTTGGAGGAGTCGCTCTCACTCTCAGCATAGGAAGGAGGGTCTAGCTCGTCTCCGCCCGCCACCCACACCTTGGAAAGCTCTTCCTCGATTTCCTGGCGTCTTGCCTTCCAATTCTCGACCTGTTCAAGGCGTTCACGAAGGTCCTGGAGCTCCTTCTCGACCTGCATCTTCTCATGTTCTGTTCCGATTCTTTCAAACTCCCACTCATCGCCACGTTCTCCGCCTCCGAGAATGAGGTTGTACGTGTGATACTTCTTGAGTGAGGCGCGTGTAGAAATGGTGATGAGAGCTGCGTCATGTCAGAAAACCTGTAGGGCATGGAATGACTCTTCAACTTACTGATTCCTTTCTCCTTGCACACTTCGTAGAGCAGGCCCTCGACGTCTTGAGACACGGCGCTAGTACCCTCGTCAAGAATGGCGAATTGAGGCTCGTGGTACAATACGCGGGCGAAACCCATGCGCTGTTTCTCTCCACCGCTAAGAACATCTTTCCACTCTTTACGGGTGTCCCAACCACCTTCACGGTCGGGAAGGTAGCCAAGACGGGCATCTTCCAAAATGCGCTTCAAATCGTCTTCAGACTTCCTCTTCTCGCGCATATCGTGATGCCCGTCAGGGTAGATGACCTGGTCGCGCAACGTACCGATGCTGAGATAGGGTCGTTGCGGCAAGAACATGATGCCATCCTGACCAATATCCTTTGGACGACTGACGAGTCCTCTGTAGACTGGCCAAAGGCCAGCAAGAATACGGGCAATAGACGTCTTACCGACACCGTTGGGGCCAGAGATCTAAGAGCGTCAGTACACTGTCATTTCCCGTCCTTAGATAATTAATGACTCACCAGAAGATGCTCTCCTCTCCTGACAACCATTGAGAGGGAATCCATTAGCTCCTCACCACCGTTGGGCCATAACGATGGGGCAACAACAGGCACGTTCTCAAACCGTACGCCATCGAAACCCTTCTGGATGGTTCCTTGAACATCCGAGAGGGAGTAAAGTTCGTTCTGTTGCCCTCGCAAGAAATAAGCATCGGCGTGAACGCGATGCAGTGTTGAAATCAAGGTGTAGACTCGGCTAGTGTAGCCGGCAAGCTCGGAGAGATCCTTGATAGAGTACATCATCCTTCCGCCAGCATCCGCGAGTGAGAGCATGAGACGCTTGTTCGTAATGAACTCCTTCATACGCCCGCGCTCCCTGCTTCCCTTTGCAGCATTTTCGGCCAGCTCAGCAGCGCCGCCCAGACCTCCCCATGCTGGAAGGAATACTGGTAATGAGGATAGAAGGTAGCCGTAAGCACTCCAACTGTACTTGAGTATGAAATCCTCAAGCATGTTGTACCGAATCTTGAGCATGTAGATGCCCTCCATCCAATTCTTCAAAGACTTAAACTCCTTGTTGAGGAAAGTCTTCTCCATGTCGGCACCTCCGTAAAAGGCGATCTCCTCGGCATTGGCGATTAGTCGTGCATGCAGCCCCCTAAAGTCTCCCTCCTTGCGGCCCTCAACTGCCTTAAGTTTGCCAAAAGGAGGCGAGAGCCGGCGCAGAATGCTCGCTGTTAGGAAATAGTTGCTCAACAAACCCGTTAGAGCCAATGGTCCCAAAGAGCGGAATAGCTGGTAGTTGAAGACGCAAAGGTCTACAAAGGGTTTGCCGAGTGATGAGTAGAGGTTCGCAGCGGCAGCACAGAATAGTGTCAAATCTTGCGTGATAAACTGATCCGCGCCCTGGCCGACGCCACCATCCAGATTGGAGAGCTTATAGTAGTTGAGGTTGTTGTTCAGGTATAGATCGTGGATGTACCGAGTAAGGCGGGTTCTGAAGGCAATGGACACCTTGGATTCGAGGAATTTGATCATCGCATTCGTGTATGACGCAAAACCGCCGAGACCACACCACTTTGAGATTCGTTAGCATTGGTTGAGGTCGTGATGACTGGAGGTTTTGGAGCACCACTCACCTTGACTAGTCCCCAGAGGAATGCCTTCCCTTGTCCTGCAACCAGATCCCGCACAATCTCGCCGTCAAGTCGAGCGACCACGAGGGAAAGGTAGGTGCGAAGCATCAAGAAAACGCTGTGACTCAAAAGCAGCCCAGCTTCTTTACTTGACCATCTCGGGATCATGATACTCATGAGACTAAGGAACTGATGTAGGAATGCCAGGTTCAAGCCCGGCTTCGTCTGCGCTGAGGGAACGGTTCCGTCGCCGAGGCCAGATACCCGCGGAGGGTTGAGGAAGAGCCGGCGATGCGCCTCAAAGGTCAGCGGTTTTGTGGTCTGAATAACAACCTTGGAGGTTCCATCTTTGTATGGGACGTAAATCGTACGTGATCCATCCTTGTTGTGCAGCCACGAATTCGTACGGACAAGTTTACGGCCCTGCTCCTTTTCCTCACGCCTTTGCCTCCACCAGCGTCTGCCTCCAGCGGCGCTGAGGACTATGGATGCGGCGAGGGCAAGTGTTCCGAGCAGTCGGGTCGTGCGGGAAGTACTTCGGAGGCGATTGCGAATCAGTGTCGTATACTTCTCGAAGAAGGCGGCGAGAGCCTCCTCCGCGGCCGACTGGCGGAGTGTCGATTGTTCTGCCATGGCAATGGCAGTAGGAAGTGAAGATTGTCTTTCAAGACTTGCGACGTCGTCGTGAGGTCGAGTCGCGCAGGCTCGCCACGGTTAGGGTGCTACTACAGATGCGCAGCCATCACAGGGCGGGAACGAATAAGAGGAGCGAGCTGAGAGGTGCTAGGCTAGAGAACGCGATTGATGCTCTGTCTCGGGATCGCTATTGAACCGTTCTGGCTTTGCGCGTATGATGATAGTGAGGTGGTGAGGTAGTTTGAAATGGCTCAAGAAAAGCACGTGGTCGCATTAGCAGGCTGAGTCGTTTGTTGTTGGAGAAGCGGCGAGTTTGGGGAGCAGGCGCTGGCTCGTGATCGCATTACGACATGTGAATGCCGGCGGGCAGTGGAGTTCCGAGGCACCCAGCACCCGAAGCGGTGGATAACTTGGGGAAAGCTGCGGGTGGACAGGTTCACGCTTCTCGGGGCTCTCCAGAGTCTCCACCAAGAATGGGGATCGTGCCGCTGAGAGCCCGAGACAACTTGGCCTGTGAGTGGCTGATTCCGGCGGGAATGACACTAACCTTACAGGACCTGGAGGGACGAAGCAAATAACATGCCAGGCGGTAAACCCCAGCTTCTACCCAGTCACATGATGCACCTTTTGAACTCGATTTTGAGGGGTCTGGGGTAAGGTAGGTACCGTTGTACCTTAGCAACTTGGGTGCCTTGGCTTTGTTCGGTTTGATGGTTGAAGAACTCGAGTCGCAACGCGGCATTCTTCTGTACGATGGAAAGCTGCGTTATAGCTGAACAAATTCAAGACTGTGGACTGGACCACCAGTTCTAGCGATTACGGCAATTTCTACCTGTCGTGGTTTCCCAATTTACCTTTATACAGACGTGACGAGTTTCTGGGAAGGGGACCGTGATCTGGGAAAGTAAGCCTGCATTGTTTCCTTTCTTGCTCTGTTTACGGGGCGCCGAAAGTAGCATCACTTCCTGCCTCTTATCCAACCTACCGTATGGCAGGCATGCCCTCTTTGTATACACTCCTGACTTAGCAATGAGCAATGAAGGGACAGAAAGTTGCCTAGAGGGGCCCGAAAATTGAATCCAGCCCCTACCTTCCTGAAGCAACGACCAAAGGATCTGGTCTTAGTAGAACAAAGCGTGTTATTGCCGTGACCCAATTCGACCAACGTTACCCCGTAGAATAACATTCCGTCACGCAAGATATCTCCCTCCAGTCATCGATTTCCACATACAAGCTTGATTATACCGGCTTGACCAAAGGTATCGTCGAAGCGAACAATATCAATCCTTGACACAAACAACTTAGGAAGCCCGCACATACGCACTACTTCTGCAACGACATGGAGAACCGACGTTTCCCAGAGAACTGTACATGTTTTCTGGAGCGCGACCTCGCCAACAAGATCTTGTCCAAGGCGGAGCAAGCCGATGTCGTTCACACCATCCAGAGCTTGTATGATGCTGGAGCCCCCCTCTTCCGAAGAGAACACATCCTCTACCTTGAAGAAGCGATCCGGGGAAGACATGAACACGTGAACTTGTGCGGAATGGACGGAAGCGCGTCTGTTTCGGGGGCTGATTGGGATTCCTAGGAGGAACAGTAGGCCAGACCACAACATGTCTGCAGTATCATGAGTAACTAACTGCACAAATGCCAGATACGAGCCAAGAATAGGCTTCCGTACCATCCAAAAGATGGTCAATGGAGTTCCTCCTGATGGCCGAATGCGCACCTGGGGAGCCTTCAGCGCCTATCGCATCGCCTGTTTCCCCAGACACACGGCACCATTTTCTCAAGACTCCTTGTCGAAAAGCCATCAACTGTGGGCGTTGTACCAAGACTTATGGAAGCGAAGTCCAACCTGTTTAACGCTTATGTTACTGTTGGATCGGCTGCCGCCGCAAATTCAAGTAACAAAGATTGTATGCTTTGGTCTCGGCGCGCTCTTGCCTAATGTCTGTCGGACGTGTCAGGACTGCCAGCGTAGTCCTGATTGCCAGGCACACAGGTCAATAAGGTCGAGGACTTTTACACAACATGCCGCTGCTGTCAGCATGATGCAAAAGTTGCGCCAGCAAACTCCTCACCTAGAATTCTACTCGCAGGAACCAGAATATTCTCCAGAATGCAGAGTTATTTTGAACCAAATGGGCATCCGTGTTCTCGATGGACACAGAGGTTTCCTCGAAGTTGACGACAAGACACTTGTTTTTTCGATCAAACCGGCAGTTCCCGTCAAGCAAATCATCACCGAGTTGGCAAGGCCAGCGATGATAATCTGGGATGCTATGGGTGGTGACGAGAAAAACGATGATGAAAGGAACCCAGACAAGTGGCAGTTGTGGACTCAAAATAGTAAGCGATTGTGGCACAGGTAAGTTTGATCGACAATTGCGTTGAAGTTTCGAAGAAAGCTGATTGATTTTTTCAGTCCCTTTGGAGTCGACCCTGATTCATCACGGACGAGGAAAATGTTGGGCGAGGAATACATCGAGTGTCCGTTTCTCGGAGACAGGTTGAACTTTGGACAGCTTGATATCCATATACGACGGTCAGCCAGAGCAATACTAGGTGGAAGTGCTCCCCAGACGCCCTCCTCTGAGGTTTCATCTGCTCTATATTGAGTGAACGACGCTCGTCGAAGCAGAAAGGAAGCACCACAGCGAACGCGGCTCACCGAGGGCGGCTTTGACAAGAGGAAACACAGGAATAGGTCTCCTGTAAGAGCTCGAAGATGGTGAGAAGAGACGGAGCTGGCTCTTGTTAGATTAGAATGGTGGTTTGCGTCATTACAGCACAGTAACATTGTACACTTAGGTGTTTGATGGAGGACTGGTTGGTGGGCTGAGTAGCCAAGAACAGAAAATATCACCATCTTCCACTGGACTCTCCAACTTCATGCTGTTGTTCGTGAGCGTGAGGGCTGTACGGTTGGTGGGACAAGTCAATGGAGTAGTATAATGCCGGCTGCGTAGTCCTTGGGGGAAGTTGGGGATGTGCTCAAATCACCATTCCGCAACTGCCCATATGGCGCAAGAGCTTTCGGTGCCATGCCATAGTGATGCTCGCATCTCTTGCTGGAAAGAGAACTGCCCAATAGCAGTACAAATATTCCAGAGTGATACTCAAGCCGTGACCATCCATGGGCGTTTCCTCTGTGGTCCCCGGCGTGCGTGTCTTATGGAGACGAATGTCAACTTTGTCAGTCGAAACTTGGCTCAGCCGTTCCCTGCACAATGACCTAATAGAAGCGGGAGGCGTTGAACGAAGAAAAGAAAGTTGTCTCTCATGAGCAGATAGTCTACTTGGGATTGAAGTAAGGGATACACACACATATACACTCGCGGCCAGTTATATGGGTTGTCATGTTTCATTCGAATGATTCAAGTCGAAGAGACAGCAGTGTAGGGCCTGCAGGTACCTAACACCTTGCCGGGAAAGGATGTAAGAAGGTTAGAATGCCAGTCTGCAGACTGCCAGACACACGGGGAGCCTACGGAAGGAGGCTCATCCCCCGCACAATACCTTGGGAGCATCTTGCATTGAAGTGGAAGTTTACTCGTATAAACCGGCGGCACGGCAATGAGTGGGACGCACACACCGTCCCGATGCCGCCGGCGTTGGTGCACCACCCACATGAGCCTCCGCCACACGAGCCTCTTTTTTGTTCTGTTCAGCACTTTTATTTGTTTGCTCCGGGGGGGAGGCTTGCACTGTGTGTCTCGAAGTATGTATAGCTGGCTGTGGCGGTGGTGGTGGTGGTGGTGGTGGTGGTGCCCTGGGCTTTGAAGTGGGTGTCCTGGCCAATGCCTTTTGGGTTCTGGAACCTCTGACGCTTGTTTCCGTAGAACAGGGTCTGGGGGAAGGGAAGGAAGGGAAAGAGAAAGAAAGCTCAAGACTCTAAGCAGTCTGTCATCCCATGTTTACGCGCGGCGGGGAGATGCATGCCGAGACCGTTTCCGGTCAATGCAGGCGGCACCGTGGATGTGTCTTGTTTCTTTTTTTCACTCTCTTTTTTCCTTGGGAAAATGCAACGCCTTGGGGAACGTTGTCTGGCGATTCTGATCTCTGATGGTTTGGCCAGCAGGGGAGGGGATATAGACTAGGGGAGGGTCAAGCTGCTCAACGGATGAACGGGGGGGGGATCAGATACGGGAATACATATCTCTCGACTACGCAGTATGAGAACCTGGAAGAGATCTCAGAGAAGGAGAGAGAGCAAGACCAATTTGCGGAATTGCAACTTTTGCGGTGGACCCGACTGGCACAGAATCCGGCGCGAAGACATCCACGTTGGGAAAACGTTGCTTTGGGGACCTTTCGGGGGGTCATCCCGGTGTGATTTTCTTGTCAAAGGCCCCAGGTCGCAGCGGGTGCGGAATCGGGAAGCCTTTCCCCTGGCGGCGGTATTTCCCTCTTTTGCATGAGAACACCCCTGCTGCGCGGTGCGTGAGTGGTCCAAAGCCTGCGTCCTGCATGCCGCCGTCCTGCGTCCAGTGCCTTGGAAAGCTGGGACTCTTCTTTTTATTTGTTCAGTTCACTTTATGGCGACAATGTGGGATGGGGATGCATGAGAAAGGCAGCCGGGCCAAGGTTGGTGGTTCGGAGTACCTTGGTATCCGTACTGTATGCGAGTGCGTAAATTAGTGAGTGAGCACTGAGTGTGAGTGTGAGTATTGTGCCTGCCCAACCAGATCCGTCACTCAATCGGGCGGTAACATGGCCAATGAGGATAGAGCGGTCCAGGGATGAGTTTGTCTGGGATGTCTGGATCTTGCCCCCCCATAAGCTTGTATGGATGCTGGTTGGTCGGCGACGTTCTTTGCGGCTGTGAATCGGGACGGGGTGATGGTTCTGGAATGTCTGGGATGCTTTTCGATGAGCGCTTGAGAGAGTGAAGCGATTGTCCAACCGTCATCGCGAGGCTTGCGAGGGGGGGCGAGGTTTTGGGGGGAGGTTTGGTTACCTAGGACGAGTGAGTGAGAAGTGAGGTAGTGGTGTTTCTACCTAGCTTAGCTCCGTGAGGGTTCGGGAGACCCATCTCGCTGAGGAAAGGTATCCTCAATCTCATACGAGCACTCACTCTCACTCAGATGAAATTCTCATTTCTGTGTACAACAATAGCATGCACGGGGAATATCAGACGGAAAGCGACATGGATGAGGCAAACTCCAACCGCCCGATATTCTCATGCGCTAAGCAAATGGCAGCTGGCATCCGCCTAGCATTGCTTCGAGCTCTATGTCTCTGTACTTCGTACTCTTGGCTCTGGAGTCCGCAGTCTGGAAACCCCCGTCCACTCATCTTAGAAGAGCTCCCCGTCTGCTACCCGCATCAGAAAAGGTGGAGGGGGTGCTGGGGCCCTTGGGGGGCTAGCAGATGGATGGTGGTGTCGCGCATCGGGACGAGGACGCTGTGTTTTTTTCGTCTTTGCCTTTTATTCCAATTGTCTTATTTGATGGGGGACCCGGGCGGCGCACGCATTAAAGGAGAACGGCCGCCCGGCTGAGTTTACCCTGCGCTGGCCCGGCGTTAGACCAGACTACTCCCCCCGAAGGCCCCAAGTAGGAGACGACGGCGGCGGCAGCACCCACTTTGCGCTTGGCACTTGCGCGCGGTGCTTACTCTGGAAGCTAATTCAAGCAAGGCCGGCGGCTTCTTGAGGCGTCAGGTGTGGTAATGTAATAAGCCAGGAGGCATCTGATGCGACGATGGGGGGGGCAAGACTCGTGGGTAATTGCTTCATAGGCAACAGACTCAGGTTGTGTACAGTGAGACTCAGGCTCAGTCAGACAAAATCTCCTCAGAATGTCTTTCTCTGTGAAGGCGATGGATCGTGGAACGAGTTCGGATAGGCGTGCCAGGGATGTTGTTCTTCTCTTTAGCTCGCAGACCGGGTTGTGGGTTTTCTGATGTTTCTGTCGTTGTTGGAATTGTTCCTGGGCACTGGGGGCGTAATTTATGGGTCCTATCTTTGCTTGCAAGCTGCCTGTGCTATCTCGTTTGTGTGTCTGCTCTTGAAGAAAGAGTTAGTTGAACTGTGAGAAAACGAAATGACGGCACTGGGATGCCGAGTGATGGGCTCAACAAAGAGCCAAGGACACGAGGTAATCTCTCTGACAGACGCAGCTTCTTTGAGGGTGCCCGAGGGGATTTTCCAGGAACGGCTACCGCGCCAGTGCCAGTGCCAGTGCCAGCAGCTCCGAAGCTCTCTGCTCGGCTCGACTCGACTCTCGACACCCTGGATACCACGATCCAGGTATGGCATGGCTGGTGGCAGTATCACCGAAGGTTGAAGACGAGATTTGTGCTGGTGCATCCAGCATTGGCTGAATAGCTTCCCAAAGCGAATGGGCGACCCATCGGTCGAGGTCCAAGAGGGTATCGCGGTCGCCCATCTCACTTTACGAATTGGACCAATTCAGGCTCTAGCTCCTTGCGAAGCGTGTGATGGGCCGGGATGGACTCTGCTTGTGTTCCCACCATGGAGATTTCTGTAATATGAGCTTGGCGGCACGGCAATGGGAGAGAAATGGGAGATGAGACATGGCGTCTGATGCGGCGCGATAGTCGTCTGGTGTAGGGCACAGTGCGGATCCACTCACGTGGTCAATGCAAGTGGGAGGATCCAGTGGATCCACTCTCAATCTCGAGGCAGGAAAGACGTCACTTGGACTCACTTGTTGCCATTAGCATCCATGTCAATTTGCATTGATTACTGCGTATCCGTACATTACCTAAGATACCTTACGCAGTACCTTAAGGTATCCTCTGTACAAGCGTCAACAGTATCAATATGTCTTGTCAACTGTGATCTTTGGGAACCCCCTTATCGCTCCCCATCTCTCGAGCCCGGCCTCTTCTTAACCAGGACGGGACGGGCTAATCTCACCGGGAAATCCACCCACACACCCTTCCAGGCCTTTTGCTCTCTCTCTCGGTGGGTGTTCTCTGTTGTAATTGAATCCATTAGCTCGTTACTGTTCGTAGCACCCCTGGTCTCTCCCTCTTCCATGATCCATCCTGTCTCTCTCTTTCTCTTCGTCTCCCAGTTTCCGTTCCCTTGAAGCTGCGGCCCCCCAGCTTCATCTGCACCTGTAGACACGGGCCAGCCCCTGGCCCTCCCAGTAGACCCCATTCAAGTGTTGCTTCTAAAGGCAAATCATCTCGCTTGTGCCTTTCACGCTCTTTCAGCCTCTGATACGTCGTTCTCTTGAGTCTTGCCAGTCGTCCTCACTTCTCACCACCCCCCGGGCCCTTGGCTGCCATCTGCTCTCTTCCTCATCCTCTCGCCGCCGACGCCTTGTCTTTCTACTGGCCATTTGGGGTTGTTAGCTTTGCTTTTTGGCTCTGCTGTTGCTCTCTTGCTCTCGTTCTTGCTCTCGCTCTCTCGCTTACTTACCCTTCTCTCACTCTCCCGTCTCTCCCATCCTCTCTTCCACTAACCCCCCTCCCCCCAATTTCCAATCTCCTTGCACGCCTTGCCGTTGCTCCATTCTTCGTCCCTCTTCTTTCACGCATCATCAAGCTTGCCAAACTCGTTGTTCCCGACCTCTTCGGCCGGCCACGTCCCTCACAAAAAAAACATTCGAGCGATATTCGATATCTGCCTCTTTTTTCTCTTTCCAAAAAGGCCAACCCATTCACTTGTTACCAGCGAACCTTAATTTCTTCCGCGACGTACCTTGCTATTCCCTGCAACCGCTCGCTCGCTTTCTCCTCGCCCACTTTTTTCCCATCTGATTCGAGCACTACCACCGCCAACCATTACGACCTTGCCTTGGGACCGACTCCAACTGACACTGGCCGCCGTAAACCATTGCCCCCCCAGGCCCAGCCACTTTGCCTCGCCCACCTAGTCATTCCATTGGCGCCGCTTCTTGCGCGACTGAGCCCAAACCATCTTCCATTCTCCGCGTTCGACCGACAACCTCACCGGGACGTCGCCTTTCCTCCTCTTCCATTCCATCCATCGCCCACCCGCGTCGATCTTTTACTTTCCGACAATTTTCCTTCACCTCGGACCGCGTAACGAGCTTTGCGAATCGGCCTTTTACGGCCGACAACAGCTCACTTAAGGGGTTGAGGATTCTGGGAAGGCTTGCCGGTCCCCAAGAAGAAAGGAGGTGAGTGACGACACTCCATGTTCACCTCTGCTTGAGCCCTCGACGCACCCTATCCGCCATCAATCTCGTGCTCGCGCGACACACCGCCTCACCGAGGGAAGAGGCATGCTCGCTCGTCTGTTGGTCCCGACCCACGTTCACGCGCACCGCTTGCTCCGTCTCGGATGGCCACCAGTCGACAAACACGACCTCGGCCATGTCTTAGACCTTGGAATGAGAGGCAGAGGCGGTAGTGTCATGATTGATCTAAATGAGCCTACTGGTGCTCGCCAGCCCCTCCTGGGCATCGTCGCTTGATTCATGCAGAACCGTTGGTCTTGCTTTGAACGTCTTGGCTAACCACCTCCCTGCTCTAGCTCGACAGCATCATGTCCGAGAGACCACAACCATCCAACCCAGACAAAATCACACCACAGATTCAGCAAAACGGCCAGTCGAGTCAAGAAATGTCCAAAGAAAAGGTGCTTCTGGCGCCAGAGGAGGGTGGAAATTCAAAGAAGGGTAGGGGCTTCCTGCATGTACCGTCTCGGTCTTCCTCGCAGCGCAATCAATCCTCCCCGACGTCGACAGGGCTGAGCGGAGCAACAGTCAGCGATTCGAGAAACAGCATCGGCGGACGTTCGAAGGAGTCCAAGGGTAGTTTTTTAGGACGCCATCGAAATGGCAGTGTCGGCAGCCACCGATCCGGCATCGAAACCGAACCTACCAACACCCCCGGCAACACGCAACCGAATTCTCCCGTGAACCCCCCTCAGAAGAAGAAGAAAGGAGGGCTTTTCGCCCTTCTTGGGTGCTGCGGTGTCCCCGACAACGCGAACGCGATTGAAAACGGCGACGACGCTGTCCACAAGCTCGACAAGCTGCCCGCGAGACCAACGACCGCCAAGTCTCGACAGCCCACCCCGCAGGACCAACAACCCCCTTCGAACAAGCCGCAAATCCAGGAGAAGCAGCCGCAGCCCGAGCAGCCAATGACGGCAACCGAAAACAAAGGCAAGCGTGTGTCTGGAGCAACCACTGCCGACGATTCTACTGTTGGCGGAGAAGCTGGCGAATCCAAGCAAAACGTCGTCAGCAACGCCGGAGCTAGTAGTGCTGCACCCGCGATCACGGTAGAGTCGACCACTGGAGAGAAGACCAAGGAAGCGCCAGTGCTGGAAGCAGACAAGAAGGATGCCGAGGGAGACGAGGCGATGCCCGATGCGACTCCCGAGCCCGAAGAGAAGCACCAAATACCGCCCCCGGTAGAAGATGCGCCAACTAGCCAGCAGCTGCCGCCCCCTCCTCCGAACCCGCCGGTATCAGCTCCTATCGATGAGGCCATTCCAGAGCAAAAGTTCTTGCTGCCACCCATTGCACCTGAGTTCAAGGGCAAGAAATGTCTCGTGCTTGATCTGGACGAGACCTTGGTTCACAGCTCATTCAAGGTAAGCATTGAAGCTGATTTTTGGCCCTATTCCACAAAAAATGCTCACAAATCTGCAGATTCTCCACCAAGCCGATTTCACTATTCCCGTCGAAATCGAGGGCAATTATCATAATGTTTATGTGATCAAGAGACCAGGTGTGGATCAGTTTATGAAGCGCGTTGGCGAGCTTTATGAAGTGGTGGTCTTTACTGCGTCAGTCTCAAAGGTAAGACCGTCCTCCTCACCCAATCACTTGATTCTGTATGCTGACCCATCCAAAGTACGGCGATCCGCTGCTAGACCAGCTCGATATCCATAAGGTCGTTCACCACAGACTTTTCCGCGAGAGCTGCTACAATCACCAAGGAAACTATGTCAAGGATCTTTCCCAGGTGGGAAGAGACTTGAAGGACACCATCATCATCGACAACTCTCCCACGTCGTACATTTTCCATCCCCAGCACGCCGTTCCCATTAGCAGTTGGTTTTCAGACGCGCACGATAATGAGCTGCTGGACTTGATTCCCGTTCTAGAAGACCTCGCAAAGTCGGATGTCCAGGACGTCAGCCTGGTTCTCGACGTTACACTTTGAAGCTAAAGATACCAATTTCTTTTCTTCGTTCATCACCTCCGAAGAAATTTGCAGGACCGCGTGTCCCATCATAGCGGCAGGCGTTTGGGTTGAGATGGTTCGTTTCCAGCAGGTGTAGATGTATCACTGTCTAATCTTACCTTATAATGAGCATGGTGGAGGTACCAGACCACTGAGCCAGCTCACGGCGGCTTTCACGCAGCAAAGCTCGATGGCCGCATTTCAAAGGACCGCGAGGATGACAATTTCCATCAAAGAACCTCGGGATCGGAAAGGGAAAAAAAGTCAGGGCACTTTGGAGCTTGGGATGGCCGAACCGGGGCAGCTGGGGCATTTCTGTCACCTGGTGCTTCTTCGTCGGCATTTTTCGAATAATGCGGTTGAGGAACCCAACGAAAGATACCTGTCTATCAAAGACCAGTCATCATGAAGAACAAAAAGGCGGCTAGGAATACCATGGGTCCTCGTGTTGGAATCTGAAGGGGATGATGCCCTTTACGTGGCAGGATTTTGTTTTCCCTTTGTTCATTTTCTATGTCTGAATCGTACCCTCCACCACCACCACTAACACTACCCCCATACTACCACCATTCTCCGGGAGTCTGCAAGCAGACATTTCATCTTCCTGCGTTTATAGCCGGCAATTGTCGATAAGGAGAGCGCTGTTGCAGGAAAGCGTTGCGTTGTGTTGTATTTCACCATGCGCTGCATAAGCTGGCGCCGTCAGATGGAAGCTTTCAGCTGCAGAACGCGGCTGCTTCCTAGATATACAGTACCCTCAAATTCAATTGAAAGCATTCACAAGATTCTCAGTGCACGGCTGTATTTTTCTAAAGGGCGGAGTGAAGGGGGGAAAAGCATGTGCTACGACGAATTACAGTATCTGCATCTCGCAATGACAGGATGACCATGTATGCCACAGGTAAACTCATGTGGTGAACTTGACTGGTCTTGCCAGGATTAGGGGCCCAGTGGAGTTTCTGGGAGCCGCTAGCCCGCTACGCTGAGCAGCCACCCATTAAGGTATGTTCGCCGCCCCAGGGGGTCTGGAACGTCGGGTCGGAAAATCCCCTGGGCGGCGCCCAGCTGGTCCCCTTTCCAAAACTGTGGCCTCAACTCTGCCACTTTTGAGCGCAGGTGCACCCCCGACCCTCTAGAGAGCTTGAATTCCCATCATCACGCCCTCCCGACCGACCATCCACATCCCACACCATCCTTTCCGAACTTTGATTCTTCTTCCCGCGTCGGCTTTTTTGAACGAATTCTCCTGGTTTCCGAGTATCCTGTAGCGATCTTGGATCTTGTCCCTCGTCACACTCCTTCACAATGGTTAGTTATTCTTCTTCCGACGGTAATGGCCAGGCTGGTCCCTCGGAGCTGCCCCTTGCCAAACTGCATGTCGTGGCTTCACTTTACCACGTCGCACGCGACTCTTTGGGGCAACGAGCACCAGCTGCCAACACTGGAGTTTGCGCCTGATTGCAATCGGACAATGCGCGCGCGCCGAGGCCGCAAGACCTACAAATGTGGCCGAATAGGAGCAAATCGCTAACATTGAAATTGTGGCATCGCAGTCTTCCCCTCGACCTTCCTCGCCCGTTAACGGAGCCGGCGCTGCCGCTTCTGGCGCCAGCGTCGCGCGTCCCTCCTCGCCCACTCCCCCCGGCGGTCCCAGAACCGCCATCCGTCGCCGCGCGGCTGCCGACCAGAAGGAAAAGATTGCGAATGCGCGGCCGAACAGCACGAGAGCTGCCGGTGCTGGCGGTAGCAGCAGCACCATGCTGAGTACGTTCCCACCCCAATGACGTGTCCTTCAATCTCTCAGAAATAGTGTGGTGGATGTTGGCGAAGTGGTTGGAACCGAGGAGAATTGGAGGCGAAGGAGCTCAATTGATCCTCAAGAAAAAGAAGGCTAACCATTGGATTACACAGGACTCTACACCGATGAGTCTCCCGGTCTCAAGGTCGACCCCGTCGTTGTTCTCGTTCTTTCCCTTGTTTTCATTTTCAGCGTTGTCGCCCTTCACAGTAAGTTTGACCCATGGATTCATCACTTCCCAAACAGAGCAGCTAGCTGACCCAATGGCGCAACAGTCATTGCCAAGCTCACCCGCAAGTTCTCCTCTTAAGCGACTTGAGAGGACACCTAGAGGAGATGCAAAAGCTAGCCTTGGATGGAGCTCATACAGCTTTGCGAGGAACCGCAAATGCCAGGGTGATGCTGCCATAACCCAGACCAAAGGGATGCCAATGCGACGACAAAGAAAGAGATACGTGCTTGTCAAGGCACAGACTGCTGTTGGGACCTGCGGGGAGTGGAATCTGGCATCAAATAAACAACACAAAAGCAACCTTTTGACGATAATGGACAGTGGAGTGCCTGCTTGTGCTCGAGAGGGGGAGTACTTTGGTTGAAGAGGCAGAGAGCATGACTGATGCGCGCCGCTGTATTATACCTCTTTTTACATTTTATTACGCTTCTAGTCTAGATAGTCCAATATGACTTCTGGAACCCAACATTGTGCTATTTCTGACTAAGGGCAGTGGTTACCCCTCCACGTAGCTGTAGTCTTCAAATCTTAGCCAGGCGGAGATATCAAAGTTCCAGTAAGTTAGACTACCAGCTGATCCAGACTACCCTTGCGGCGACCCTGAGCTCAGTGGGAAGGAAGGTGACTGCTCAGGCGAGAAGCTCGATCCACCGTCCCACAATGGCGACCTGAGAGGTGGAGGCAAATGATTTGTGGTATGGAGTTGACGACTTGCTTTCGAAGATATTCAGGAGTCTTCCTAAAACACCAATTGTTCGGAGAAACTTTACACAGAAAATGAAGTCTTCCTGTGTCCCGAGTTAACAAGAAATGAACTTGGTTCAATAGCTGTTCAACTAGTGTCGCACGGGAACACGTGAGAGGAAGCCAGTGTCCGAACTCATTTTGGGAGGTGACCAGAGAGGTTCCGCGTGCGCGTGCCCACGATAAGTTGCAATTGGAGGAAATGCCCGTCCCCACTAACCCGTATCTCCTTCCCCATATTCTCTTCGTAAGCCAATTACCAATTACCACTCTCCCGCAAATGACTCGGTTGGCCACTCTGTTATCCACTCGCGCACAAAATCATTGCGGAGAGATACTCATTTTCAAACCTGCGGGAAAATTTCAACAGTTCACCGAGAGCAGCTTAGCTGTCTTCCTCCCCTTGGTGTAGTTGGTTCATCACGTTCGACTGTAATGGTTACATTGTCATCGAAAGGTCTCTAGTTCGATTCTGGAAGGGGAGAATCAAATCTTTTGCAGCTTGTCGTAGTTATTTTTGGTGTTCTTGATTTACTGCTCATTCTCTTTTGTTCCTGCTTTTGTACTCAGTGTCTACCGATCACTTTTGTTGCTCATTCTTATCCCTACTTTTGTCGTATTCACCCAGGAATATGTGAAGCTGTTGGTGGACTAGATTCTGGTGACGATGGATGAGATGTAGGTTCTGTAAGTATAGCCTGTGGAGTTGAAGAGTTTGTTGTTGCCTGATTGACTTTTGTGCTGCATTGCCGCACTCTACACCACTCGACTATCAACCGGGGACCTGTTGTAACCCGGAAAATAATCGCCGGTCAAACCTACTTGTGTAGGATGCCCGTGATGAACCATCACCTCGGACTGCTCCCGCCTACTATCAAAAAGCTCTTTCCAACTGCAAAGAGCCATGACTCTTAACAGCCGCCTCATGGGTATGAAATAGGCGGTCACCTTTCAATAACATCGAATCTCAGATGTCTCATATGATTGTTGCCTCGACGGAAGCAACCTCAGAGCTGCCCTGGGACCGGAGAATAGGATCATGACCGCACAGCCAACGCTCCACGCTTCCACGCGTCCCTCAGACCGGGACCCAGACCCTGGTCCATCTTTATTTGGTCCCCTGAAAGTATCCTACCAAGACTATAACTGACCAGCGAACCGGAAGACATCTTATAGTCGCTGCCTAACGTTTAACCTAGGCCTGCGGCTCAGACGTCGAAGCATTCCTCAAAACCTCTACTGGATTATTCCATAGACATTATCTCGTGCCTGAGACGCGTGTTGATTGAGCGGGCCCTCCCTTGTCTTCCAAACCCATCATCTCTTGGTCTTGAGTCTTGTGGCTGTGCGGGGTTCCAGAACCAGGTCCAGCTGGCCCTCTTCGAAATCGTCCCATCAAAACATCCCGTCATTGGCCTACCCGATGCCATCTTTCTTGGAGGATCTTCAACGCCTCCTCTCCCCCACGTCCTCAAGCCATTGGACGAATGATGTTGCGGAAAGGGAGGTGGACGTCATAGCTCTGTCCCCCCCGTCCATGGAATTTCAAGCCGGGAGCGCCCCGTGCCAGTCGCCCCAGTCCAGCTCGCTTGAACTGAGGCGTTGAACCTGTTGATGCAACTTCTCGGATGGTTGCGTAGGGCGGTGCTCATATGGGTTACCTCCCTCCTCCAGGTTGCCCATTTGCTTCACCTTACAAGGCAGTGGAGGCCACTGGGAATCTGGGAAGCCTGGCGGAGAAGTCGCTAGTGGCCCCCTTATCCGCACCCACCCCACCTCTAATCTGACCCTCGAACCCACTGAAGCTCCAGGGTCTTTCTCACGAGCTTGATCATCTCAGCTTTTGGCTCCGATGATGAAACGGGGCTGAATACTTATGCTGCCGGCCTTCGCTCCAGCACCTCGCTTGTCACTGCACCTGATCGTACCTTCTGACTATGCTCTATCTTCCCATAACCCAACTCAAGAACAATCCCGTTCAGCAAGATAATTGCCCACACGCATAACTGCCCATCGTGCCACGCTTGCTTGCCCCTCTTTTGTGTCACTTGTTGCGCTGGTGAGAAGGCGCCCTCGTCAATTCAAAGCTCTCAAACGTCCACAATCCCACTACAATAGCTACGAACATCGCCGCTACTATCTGCGACCAGCCACCCCGTGATGACCTGAACTTTCGGAAACAATTTCATTACCCCTCGACATCGTCACTGGTCCTGCTCCCCCTCGGTTGACGAGTCGAAGAGTTGACCTTCCCCGCAATGACGGTCGTCAAGAACCCAGAAGCGGGCGCGAGCTCGTCTGCCCCTCCCCCGCCACCAAGATGGCCCAGCGATTTGAACCTCAACAGGACGGACAGCGCTGAGGTTCCCGACGCCCTCGTCTCTGACGGATTCAGCTTGCCTTCACTGGAGGCCGAGACCGAGGCTCCGCCGGCCTACGGAGACCTTCCTGATCAGCTGCAGTTCAACCAGGCGGGCTTCGAAGCCGGCGCCAATGTAACGGGTAACTTTCAACTCCTACCACCAACGCCGCTCACATCACGAGATTCGCTGACAAGTGCTACTAGGAGACGGCCGAGTCAACATTAACATCAACCAGAGCGGCAATCGCCTGGCCGAGATCCTCGCCCCGACGCTACGAAACCAGCTTCTCGCCGACAAGCGACCCCAGGCACCCCTGCCTCCAGCCTACATCCCCCCGAGCCTTGGAGGCCAGCCGGGCCAGACCCCTCCCCCGCAGCTCAACGTCGTCATACAGATTGTCGGCTCACGAGGCGACGTCCAGCCCTTTGTCGCCCTCGGCAAGGTGCTGAAAGATACCTACGGCCACCGCGTGCGAATAGCCACGCACGCGACGTTCCAAAAGTTTGTCGAGGAGAATGGGCTCGAGTTCTTCTGCATCGGTGGCGACCCCGCCGAGCTCATGGCCTTCATGGTCAAGAACCCCGGTCTGATGCCCGGCTTCGACACACTCAAGAGCGGAGAGGTTAGCAAGCGCCGCAGGGGAATCCAGGATATTCTGCTCGGGTGCTGGCGCTCGTGTATCGAGGCGGGCAACGGGTTGGGTCCGCCACCAAAACCGCATGCCAAGGATCAGCCGCTGGACGAGCACTATGGAATACCTGGGGACCCGACGCAGAAGCCCTTCGTAGCTGACGCCATTATTGCGAACCCGCCGAGTTTTGCGCATATTCACATAGCTGAGAAGATGGGTATTCCGTTGCACCTAATGTTCACTATGCCGTGGACGCCTACGCGCGCTTTTCCTCACCCGCTGGCCAATATTCAGTCGACAAACACCGATACGGTCATGACCAACTATGTTTCTTACGCGTTGGTTGAAATGATGACATGGCAGGGCCTCGGCGACGTCATCAATAGGTTCCGAGACAAAGCGCTGGATCTGGAGCCCATGTCACTGATTTGGGCCCCGGGTGTATTGACGAGATTAAGAATCCCCTATACGTATTGCTGGTCTCCGGCACTGATTCCCAAGCCGAACGACTGGGGTCGTGAGATCGATATTTCAGGATTCTACTTCTTGAACCTGGCCTCGGCGTTTACTCCAGAACCTGATCTAGCTGCGTTCTTGGCTGCAGGGCCCCCTCCCGTCTACATTGGATTTGGCTCTATCGTGGTTGATGACCCGAATGCCTTGACCAGGATGATCTTTGATGCTGTTCATCAGACAGGCGTACGCGCGCTGGTCTCCAAGGGCTGGGGCGGCCTAGGCGCGGAAGATGTTGGACTTCCAGAAGGGGTCTTCATGCTGGGCAACGTGCCCCACGACTGGTTGTTCAAGCATGTGTCGGCAGTCTGCCATCATGGTGGCGCAGGTACTACTGCCGCAGGTATTCAGGCAGGCAAGCCCACCATCATTGTGCCGTTCTTTGGTGACCAGCCATTCTGGGGTGCCATGGTCTCGAGGGCGGGTGCTGGTCCAGATCCCATTCCTTACAAGGAGCTCACGGGAGATAAGCTCGCGGAGGCCATCAAGTTTGCTGTCAAGCCCGAAACTCAGGCTAGAGCCCAGGAGCTTGGTCACAAGATTCGCGAGGAGAAGGGTACTGATTTGGGTGGTAAGAGCTTCCACGACCATTTGGACACCGACGAACTTAGGTGCTCTATTGAGCCTAGTCGGGCGGCCGCTTGGCGTGTAAGGAGGACGAAGGTCCGTCTGAGTCCCATGGCTGCCGCGGTGTTGGTAGAAAGGGGCCTGATCAAGTATTCTGATCTCAAGCTGTGAGTCCTCGCGCCCCTTTAGTCACTCCACACAAAGTCATAACTAACATTTCACAGCTATCGGCCCAAGGAGTATATCACTGAGGGCCAGCC